TAGACTGGGAAAACAAGGAACCACAAGGAGGTGAAGAAATACGGAGAGCGAAACTGTTGGAAGTGGCGACAAAGAACTTTTTAAGGGGGCGATAGTTAGGGTTCATAAAAGTTGTTCTAGTGCAATGAAAATTTATTGACGTATTACACGTGAAGAGGGCTGCAAGTGGTCCAAGTTTCAGCATCGCAGCCTAAATAGAGAGGGAGAAAAAAAAAAAAAAACTTTTTTTAACCATTTTTTTACATGTTTTAAAGTTGATATAACAAATACAAATATCAACTGATATTATTTCTATGATACTCAGCTATCACAATACTATATAATAAAGGTTGTCTAGTGGCATTATTATCCCAAACCTATTTAGTGCAATAATACAAATTTTCAAAGTTCACCCAAAAAATTATGCAACAAAATGATGTTTATAAATATATATAAAATCAATAAATGATCTTAGGGGAAATATATAACTTGAGTTTTTAGAGGCACAGACTCTACATATAATGTGCAAGTTCCATGTAAATTGAATAATAAATAAAAAAGTTATTCAACCATATAGTTGCAAATTAGTTACCTGTAAAAAATGAAGGTCAAAGTTCAGCCACCTTTGGCTGAGGTTGATGAACTACCAATTTCAATCAAAATTACCACCCTTGTAGATTGGCATTCCTTCAGTAAGGTGTGTAAGTTCCATGAAGATCGCCTGATAAAAAAAAAAAAAAAAAAATTATTAAAAAAAAAAAAAAAAAAAAAAAAATAAAAAAAAATAAAAAAAAAGACAGCAGCTTTATATTTACAATTATTTATGATATAGTATCAAGATATAAAACATAATACATACTAACCTAATATAATTGGTCTGAAATATGCAACATCTTGCAACATCAAGAGGGAGAACGTCTTGAGTTGCAGGTCTAAGATCTTGAGTGGCAGGTGCCGCAGGTGGTGTGGCAGGTGCCGCAGGTGGTGTGGCAGGTGCAGCAGGAGGTGTGGCAGGTGCCACAGAGGTGTGGCAGGTGCCACAGGAGGTGTGGGTGCCTGGGTGTGAGGCGAGGTAGTGTGTTGTGGGGGCGGGAGGCTGCCCTCTCTCTTCACTCAAGGGAACTCTTGTTTTGCCTCAGTGTGGCTTTACGCTCCTTCTTTACTTGGCTAACGCGTAGAGCTCTTGCCTTTAGAGCTTTCTTCTTGTCCGATACTATATCCATTGTGCAGTATATGCAAGAAAATACGATCTGTGCGAGCGCGTCAGGCATGCGACCACCGGCACAGACACTGAGAGGGTGACTAAGCCAGAGTAATCGGATTATAGCCCCTCCCTCTCACAGAAGACAGTTGCCAGCGAGTGTGTTTATAATTTGTATATGCATAACAAGATATTCTCCACTCTATTGCGAAATACTAGACGCTTACAACGTATGACGCATCACCCTACGGCGCACCCGAGCCGCGAGGACCAGATTTCGGGGCAATTGCGGCTGGAAAATTTGCTCTAATTACGTTATTTATTATCATAACATTAAACGGTTTGCACCACGGTGTTGCCAGAACGTTGTAGTATTTTTATAAATTTTTCGTGTTTGGCCGAATTTTTTCGGCCAAACAATTATAACGCCACCTTAAGTCAGCATGTCAGGGGACCCACAAGAATGAAAGGCAACGATGAACCAGCGAACCTCAACATAGTTTTCACTATGTTTTCATAGTTTTCACATCGACATAACGGAAATCGGTTTCGAAGCCTCAATGGAAATGAGTGATCACAGTGTACTGATGTTTGAGTATCTGGTCGAAGTAGGGTCAATGTACTCAAGGAAGGGCCCAGAAAACAAAAGGATGGCATTCCAAAAGGGAAACTATGAGGAAATAAGAAAATTCCTAACAGTTATAACCTGGGAAACAGAACTCAGAGGAGAAACGGCCAAAGCATGATGGACAACATCACACAGTTGTGTACGGAGACAGCAGACAAGTTCGACACAGTCCATAAGGAAAAAAATAAATGCAGACACCAAACCCATGGTTGTATCAGAGATGTAAGAGTGCACAGCAACTACACAGGAGCAGTGTGAGAACACATGAGCAACACCTACACATGAGCAGTGTGAGAACACGAGAGCAACACCTACACAGGAGCAGTGTGAGAACACAAGAGCAACACCTACACAGGAGCAGTGTGAGAACACGAGAGTAACACCTACACATGAGCAGTGTGAGAACACGAGAGCAACACCTACACAGGAGCAGTGTGAGAACACAAGAGCAACACCTACACATGAGCAGTGTGAGAACACGAGAGTAACACCTACACAGGAGCAGTGTGAGAACACATGAGCAACACCTACACAGGAGCAGTGTGAGAACACAAGAGAGGAGGAGGATGTTGTGTTTACCACTCACTAACACGTGTTTAACACACACACAACATCACGGTAATTGTGCTACTACAACGTCCTGCTGGAGGAGTGGAAGGTCTCAAGACAGCGGCGTTACCACAAGTAATAGACCGTAACGAGGAGTGATTAGCGGAGCGGCGAGCGGCAGGTGCTGCTTGTTAGCGGTGATTGGCGCCGCCTTAACAAGCTCCTTACTCTCAGGTGCTGCTTGTTAGCGGTGATTGGCGCTGCCTTAACAAGCTCCTTACTCTCAGTCTTGGTCCGCTCAGCACTCTCTTGTTGATGTTAATGTGTTGTGAGGTGTGGTGGTTAATGTTAATGTATAGTGAGGTGTGCTGGTTAATGTTAATGTATAGTGAGGTGTGCTGGTTAATGTTAATGTATAGTGAGGTGTGCTGGTTAATGTTAATGTATAGTGAGGTGTGCTGGGGTAATTGATGAAGTACTCATACACCGTTCGGTTCATGAGGTAGTCACTCATAATGGGGTTTATGTAATCACTAACCTTGGGATTTATGTTGTCATAAGCCTTGGGATTAAGGTAATCATTAACTTTGGGATTTATGTAGTCATGACCCCTGGGATTTATGCAATCACTAACCTTGGGATTACCTTGCTGAAGAATACTTCCTTTTAGAGTGCAAAGCTCACTCCTGAGAGCTCCATTGTCCTCCTTCAATTTAAGCACTTTTTCTTCATACTTCTTTCGCATATCCTCAATTATCTCTAACCTGGCAAGAACACCTCCTGTCCTTATATCTTGTGGTGAGAACCTTTGAACCAATCATCTCTATCTCTAACCTGGCAAGAACACCTCCTGTCCTTATATCTTGTGGTGAGAACCTTTGAACCAATCATCTCTATCTCTAACCTGGCAAGAACACCTCCTGTCCTTATATCTTGTGGTGAGAACCTTTGAACCAATCATCTCTATCTCTAACCTGGCAAGAACACCTCCTGTCCTTATATCTTGTGGTGAGAACCTTTGAACCAATCATCTCTATCTCTAACCTGGCAAGAACACCTCCTGTCCTTATATCTTGTGGTGAGAACCTTTGAACCAATCATCTCTATCTCTAACCTGGCAAGAACACCTCCTGTCCTTATATCTTGTGGTGAGAACCTTTGAACCAATCATCTCTATCTCTAACCTGGCAAGAACACCTCCTGTCCTTATATCTTGTGGTGAGAACCTTTGAACCAATCATCTCTTGGTGTGTTTACATTCCCCGTGGTGGCGGCGGCGGCCATATTTCTTATTAACAATAGTTTGTTCTAGAAAACAAACTTTTCCAACTCAGCTATTTTCACTCTCTTTTTCTTGAAAACTTTTCCAACTCAGCTATTTTCATCTCTTTTTCTTGAAAACTTTTCCAACTCAGCTATTTTCACTCTCTTTTTCTTGATTATTGTATTTTATTTGTTTTTAAACTTCCCTGAACCTTTATGTAACCTGGGACACCACTGTAGCCCTTAACTTGTTCCCAATACTTAGGTATTTCTATATTGTAGAAGCTTGCTGCAGTGTGACTCCTGCCTAGTCCTGCGTGTGTGTGTACTCACCTAATTGTACTCACCTAATTGTGCTTGCGGGGGTTGAACTTTGGCTCTTTGGTCCCGCCTCTCAACTGTCAATCAACAGGTGTACAGATTCCTGAGCCTACTGGGCTCTATCATATCTACATTTGAAACTGTGTATGGAGTCAGCCTCCACCACATCACTTCCTAGTGCATTCCATTTATTAACTACTCTGACACTGAAAAAATTCTTTCTAACGTCTCTGTGGCTCATCTGGGTACTAAGTTTCCACCTGTGTCCCCTTGTTCGTGTCCCACCCGTGCTGAAGAGTTTGTCTTTGTCCACCCTGTCAATTCCCCTGAGAATTGTGTAGGTGGTTATCATGTCTCCCCTTACTCTTCTGTTTTCCAGGAATGTGAGGTTCAGCTCCTTTAGCCTTTCCTCGTAGCTCAATCCTCTCAGTTCCGGGACGAGCCTGGTGGCATACCGCTGAATCTTCTCTAACTTTGTCTTGTGTTTAACTAGGTATGGACTCGAGGCTGGAGCTGCATACTCCAGGATTGGTCTTACATAAGTGGTATACAGGGTTCTGAAGGATTTCTTACACAAGTTTGTGTGTGTGTGTGTGTGTGTGTGTGTGTGTGTGTGTGTTATTACCTAAGTGTAATTATCTAAGTGTAGTTACAAGATTAGAGCTACGCTCGTGGTGTCCCGTCTTTCCAGCACTCTTTGTCAAATAACGCTTTGAAACTACTGACGGTCTTGGCCTCCACCACCTTCTCACCGTGTGTGTGTGTGTGGGGGTGGGGGGCGGGGGTTGAGCTTGGGTCTTTGGTCCCGCCTACTGGGCTCCTGAGCCTACTGGGCTTTATCATATCTACATTTGAAACTGTGTATGGAGTCTGCCTCCACCACATCACTTCCTAATGGATTCCATTTCTCAGCTACTCTGATACAAAAAAAAGTTCTTTCCAGTATCTCTGTGGCTGATATGGGCACTCATTTTTCACCTGTGTCCCTTTCTTCCCGAGGTGTGTGTGCGTCTTCAGGTGTGTCTTAAGGCAGGTGTGTGGGGGAGATGCGGGACTCACCTGGCGTGACAGGCCGGTGGGAGGCAGTGATGACGGAGGCCAGTGTGGCCACGACGGTACTAGCCAGCGCGAGCGTCAACATCCTGGTGTTGGCACCTGGACAATACTGAAGCTCTGGCCGTCAGTGGTGGCTCTTATATACCTCTAAGCCCCCCCCCCCCCCCGCCTCCTTCATCAGCTGACGGGGTAAACACACAAGAAAGCATCAGTTGTACCGAGAACTGGGAAGTTCTCCACCTTCCTCACTGTCGGCTGAACATTGTTAGCATAACATGGATCACCACTCACCATGAACTATGTAAATACGCCAAAAGCCCACAAAGTTAACTATTGTCTATATCTATAAAGATAGATTGTCTGTTTCTGTGTTTCTGTCTTTAATTGTCCAAGGCTGTATAGCAGCGACGCTCTGGGTTAGCCTCACACAATTTTGCAGCAGGAATCTTCTGGGGTATGGGATGGACATTGGCTGGTCGGCGCCTGCCTAACTTTAATACTATAAGAAATGTTAGCATTTGATGACCACCCCCTCCCCACCTCCAGGTGGTTTCCACCGGGGTAAGAGTGAAATATTTAGTGTTTACACCTTAGAGTTTTTAGTCTTTCGTAATAGTGTATTCTCTAAGAGACTCGTAGAGTTGTTTCAGAGCTTCTTAATATCCAAATTTCTGTGCAAAGTGGTGCAGGGGAGATGAAGTGGTGGGGGGGGGAGTGGGGAAGATGGAGTGGGGGAAAGAGGTTGTGAGGGATGGAGTAGGGAAGAGGTGGGGAAAGATGGAGTGGGGGAGGAGGTTGGGGAAGCTGGAGGGCAGGTAAAAAACTCATGCTAAATTGACGGACGAAGGACGGACCAAGGAGAGAGGTACGAGGGAGGGGAGGAAAAGATGGGGGGAAGGGAGGAAACTGGGAAGGAAGAGACCCGGGTGCAGCCGGGTACCCATTCAACATATATATATATATATATATATATATATATATATATATATATATATATATATATATATATATATATATATATATGCGAACAAGCCAGAATGGTCCCCTGGACAATATGCAACTGAAAACTCACACCCCAGAAGTGACTCGAACCCATACTCCCAGAAGCAACGCGAATCACCTAAGAATGAGGTGATTTGGTAAAATGCTATGCCCAAGATAACTATCCGAGTGCCGGCGGTGGGGTGGTTCAAATAGCCTCGGCTATCACCTCATTATGTCCGGTCGTGATGGTCAAGTGGATTAAGGCGTCTTGTACATACCAGTTGCGTTGCTTCTGGGAGTATGGGTTCGAGTCACTTCTGGGGTGTGAGTTTTCAGTTATATATATATATATATATATATATATATATATATATATATATATATATATATATATATATATATGTCGTACCTAGTAGCCAGAACGCACTTCTCGGCCTACTATGCAAGGCCCAATTTGCCTAATAAGCCAAGTTTTCATGAATTAATTTTTTTGACTACCTAACCTACCTAACCTAACCTAACCTAACTTTTTCAGCTACCTAACCTAACCTAACCAATAAAAATAGGTTAGGTTAGGTTAGGTAGGGTTGGTTAGGTTCGGTCATATATCTACGTTAATTTTAACTCCAATGAAAAAAAATTGACCTCATACGTAATGAAATGGGTAGCTTTATCATTTCATAAGAAAAAAATTTGAGAAAATATATTAATTCAGTAAAACTTGGCTTATTAGGCAAATCGGACCTTGCATAGTAGGCTGAGAAGTGCGTTCTGGCTGCTAGGTACGACATATATATATATATATATATATATATATATATATATATATATATATATATATATATATATATATATATATATGTCGTACCTAGTAGCCAGAACTCACTTCTCAGCCTACTATTCAAGGCCCGATTTGCCTAATAAGCCAAGTTTTCCTGAATTAATATATTTACTATAATTTTTTTCTTATGAAATGATAAAGCTACCCTTTTCTCTATGTATGAGGTCAATTTTTTTTTATTGGAGTTAAAATTAACGTAGATATATGACCGAACCTAACCAACCCTACCTAACCTAACCTAACCTATATTTATAGGTAAGGTTAGGTTAGGTAGCCAAAAAAAGCTAGGTTAGGTTAGGTTAGGTAGGTTAGGTAGACGAAAAAAACATTAATTCATGAAAACTTGGCTTATTAGGCAAATCGGGCCTTGAATAGTAGGCTGAGAAGTGCGTTCTGGCTATTAGGTACGACATATATATATATATATATATATATATATATATAGGCTGAGAAGTGCGTTCTGGCTGCTAGGTACGACATATATATATATATATATATATATATATATATATATATATATATATATATATATATATATATATATATATATATATATATATATATATATGTCGTACCTAGTAGCCAGAACTCACTTTTTGGCCTACTATTCAAGGCCCGATTTGCCTAATAAGCCAAGTTTTCCTGAATTAATATATTTTCTCTAATTTTTTTCTTATGAAATGATAAATCAACCCATTTCATTATGTATGAGGTCAATTTTTTTTTTATTGGAGTTAAAAGTAACGTAGATATATGACCGAACCTTACCAACCCTACCTAACCTAACCTAACCTATCTTTATAGGTTAGGTTGGTTAGGTAGCCGAAAAAGTTGGGTTAGGTTAGGTTAGGTAGGTTAGGTAGTCGAAAAACAATTAATTCATGAAAAGTTGGCTTATTAGGCAAATCGGGCCTTGCATAGTAGGCTGAGAAGTGCGTTCTGGCTACTAGGTACGACATATATATAATATATATATATATATATATATATGTCGTACCTAGCAGCCAGAACGCACTTCTCAGCCTACTATGCAAGGCCCGATTTGCCTAATAAGCCAAGTTTTACTGAATTAATATATTTTCTCAATTTTTTTTCTTATGAAATGATAAAGCTACCCATTTCATTACGTATGAGGTCAATTTTTTTCATTGGAGTTAAAATTAACGTAGATATATGACCGAACCTAACCAACCCTACCTAACCTAACCTAACCTATTTTTATTGGTTAGGTTAGGTTAGGTAGCTGAAAAAGTTAGGTTAGGTTAGGTTAGGTAGGTTAGGTAGTCAAAAAAAAATTAATTCATGAAAACTTGGCTTATTAGGCAAATTGGGCCTTGCATAGTAGGCCGAGAAGTGCGTTCTGGCTACTAGGTACGACATATATATATATATATATATATATATATATAACTGAAAACTCACACCCCAGAAGTGACTCGAACCCATACTCCCAGAAGCAACGCAACTGGTATGTACAAGACGCCTTAATCCACTTGACCATCACGACCGGACATAATGAGGTGATAGCCGAGGCTATTTGAACCACCCCACCGCCGGCACTCGGATAGTTATCTTGGGCATAGCATTTTACCAAATCACCTCATTCTTAGGTGATTCGCGTTGCTTCTGGGAGTATGGGTTCGAGTCACTTCTGGGGTGTGAGTTTTCAGTTGCATATTGTCCAGGGGACCATTCTGGCTTGTTCGCATATATATATATATATATATATATATATATATATATATATATATATATGTCGTACCTAATAGCCAGAACGCACTTCTCAGCCAACTATGCATTGCCCAATTTGCCTAATAAGCCAAGTTTTCATGAATTAATGTTTTTTTGACTACCTAACCTACCTAACCTAACCTAACCTAACTTTTTCTGCTACCTAACCTAACCTAACCGATAGAGATAGGTTAGGATAGGTTAGGTAGGGTTGGTTAGGTTCGGTCATATATCTACGTTAGTTTTAACTCCAATAAAAAAAATTGACCTCATACATAATGAAATGGGTAACTTTATCATTTCATAAGAAAAAAATTAGAAAAAATATATCAATTCAGGAAAACTTGGCTTATTAGGCAAATCGGGCCTTGCATAGTAGACTGAGAAGTGCGTTCTGGCTATTAGGTACGACATATATATATATATATATATATATATATATATATATATATATATATATATATATATATATATATATATATATATATATATATATATAAATGGAATTCGAGGCTGACGTTCAGGAAAGGAGAGGATGGGGAGAGTGGGAGGATGGGGAGAGGGGGAGGATGGGGAGAGGTGGAGGATGGGGAGAGGTGGGGGATGGGGAGAGGTGGAGGATGGGTAGATGGGGAGGATGGGGAGAGGGGAGGATGGGGAGAGGGAGAGGATGGGGAGAGGGGGGGAGGATGGGGAGAGGGGGAGGATGGGGAGAGGGGGAGGATGGGGGGAGAGGTGGAGGATGGGGAGAGGGGGAGGATGGGGAGAGGTGGAGGATGGGGAGAGGGGGAGGATGGGGAGAGGTGGAGGATGGGGAGAGGTGGGGGATGGGGAGAGGTGGAGGATGGGTAGATGGGGAGGATGGGGAGAGGGGAGGATGGGGAGAGGGAGAGGATGGGGAGAGGGGGAGGATGGGGAGAGGGGGAGGATGGGGAGAGGTAGAGGATGGGGAGAGGTGGAGGATGGGGAGAGGTGGAGGATGGGGAGAGGTGGAGGATGGGGAGAGGTGGAGGATGGGGAGAGGTGGAGGATGGGGAGAGGTGGAGGATGGGTAAGGTGGAGGATAGGGAGAGGTGCAGGATGGGGAGAGGGGGAGGATGGGTAGAGGTGGAGGATGGGGAGAGGTGGGGGATGGGGAGAGGTGGAGGATGGGTAGATGGGGAGGATGAGGAGAGGGAAAGGATGGGGAGAGGGGAGGATGGGGAGAGGGAGAGGATAAGTAGAGGGGGAGGATGGGGAGAGGGGAAGGAAGGCTTGGGGCGAAGGGGGAGAAAGGAGGGCTTTTGGGGGCAGGAGAGGTGGGAGGGCTTGGGGGGGGGAGAAAGGAGGGCTTAGTGGGGTGGGGGAAAAGTCAGGGATTAGGGGGTGGGGCGAAGGGAGGGGATAGGGGGTTGGGGGAGGAGGGAGGGCTTAGGGTGGCGGGGGAGCATAGGGATTGGGGCAGGTAGGGCTTCTATTGGGTGGGAGATGGTTATGATCCTCCCAACTGGGGTTGTTGAACTGCCTGTGGAGGGTTCCCCACTCCCTTCTCGGATCGTATTGTTCTGGGTTGT